GAGCTGAGCTGAGCTGAGCTGAGGAGGCACCTACGTGGCTCGAAGGGCAGTGAAGTCGTTGCTGTCATTAAGGAGCACTTTGCACTTCTCCAGAAGGTCGTTGGACACTCTGTCCCCAGGATGCACCTTTTCCAGCTTCTGGCAGAGGTTGCGGAGATCGTTGCAGATGGAGATGAACATGTTGAGGACATGCCTGTCTCTGGAATTGTAACAGTGGTGGTCCTTGTAGCACTGCACCTGCACAGGGAGAAAATAGCAGTGCTTGTAAATACAGCATAATGTTAGACATCATCTCTGTGAAAATATGGTGCAGTGTCTCTCACAATCCTCTCCATGACTTTGGGAAAAGCCCTTCTATTAGAAAGGCAGCCCTTGGACAAGACAGCCCCCTCATTCTGTGTCTGAATCCTGACAGCAGCCTGGATGTCTCTCTGCCTTGGCATCCACCTGGGTTTTGTGCCCAAGTTTTGCTTTCTCCAATCGACAATTCTGATTTTATTTTAGGTATTTTTTCCCTCCTCTGTTACTAGGTAGTCTAAGTTATAGTTTTAAGTACACCATGCTGTAAAATCTCCAAGACTATTCACTTACCAGCCCAGAAAACCCCTTGCCCACTTGGGACTTCCAGCCCTCAATCTATCATCCTCCCTCTCTGACACAGCCATTATTTTTAATAAGTACTATAGAAAGATCCAGCAGTGCCAATACCAGGGGGAAGAGCCAGGCAGGCTGGTTCCTATGAGCTGAGGATTACAGATTCCATGTGTGGCTGGGGAAGGAGGCTTGGTGTGATTGTTTTCTTGTACTCTATGTTTTTGGCTGTGCCTCATCAATGTTAGACTATTTTGCTGAATAATTTGTACCTGGCTAATGGATGACACAGGTCTGACCACATCATTGGCTTCTACCCGGCTGAGTTTCAGTGCTCTGATAAATGTCAACTGCTGCTGCTGGAAGAGCTTGTAGTTCTGCTCGATCTTTCTTAGAGTTTCCACTACCTCATCCATGTTGACTTATTTCTGGATCTGGGAGTGAAAAGGAGAGAAAGAAAGCTGCTTTTCAGAAATTATGCAACCTGAGTTGGAATTGGGTCGTTTAGTGGAAAACTTAAAAAAAAAAAAAATTAAAAAAGGAAAAGGCAGAAAAAAGAGGAATGTGTTGTGTCGAAGGCCTGCAGTCCCAGAGCCCCAAGCAGTAAGTCAAGGAGTTGGTAATGATGCTGCAACAAGAGGCAGAGAAGCCAGAGGGGAGCGCTGACAATCAGATGCCATAAACCCGAGCGGGTGTGTTGTAAAGATAATGCGGCAATGCATCAACCGCGCGGGCCCGGGGGAGCCGGGGGCAGCCGGGGCTTCTCTGCGGCTCGTACCGGCCGGTGGGCGGGCGGTGGCGGTGTGGCAGCTCCCCAGGTGGAACGGGGCTGTGCCGTGACCGGGCGGACGGCGCTCACTGAGGGTTCTCGGCTCCGCCGTTGCCGAGGCAACCGCGCCGCCGTGGCCGTGGCAACCGTCGCCGCTCGATGACGTCTCCCCGTTCCTCGTTGAAATAAACGAGGCGCCGGCCACGCCCCCGAGTGGAGCGAGGCCGTTTCCCGTCGCGCGGTGATGACGCCTCTTTAGCAACGCGTCCCGTTGCTACGGGCGGCCATGGCGGAGCTCGCTATGGAGGACCCGGCCCGGCCGTGGCCGCCGCCCGCGGGAGCCTACGCGGAGGAGCGGGGGCTCTTCCAGCTCCTGCAGGTGAATCGGGACCCCCCGCCAGCCCCTCCGCGGCGCGGGGTCACCGGGCGGGGCTGGGGAAAGCGGGGAGAGGCCCCGGTTCAGGCTCCTGTGTAATGTGATGGGCCGGTGTCCGTGTGCGCGAGGCGGCCGTGCGCTCTCTCAGTTAATTATTTTAATTAGCAGTTTCTGTGGCTCATACTTGTCGTTTGATTTGAGGAAGGAAGTGGCAGCCTGTGGAAGGATGGCGTCAGTGAAAGGCGAGGCAGAACGAGGAGCAGGAGGACGGGGGGACAGTGAGAAATTGAGTGCGGTTAGAAGGCGGTGAAGGTTTGGCCGTGGCTGTCACCGCCTGCTGATCATCCCCCGCTTAAAACCCTTCCCCCCGCATTCCTGTCGTGGCTGTTCCGGATGATGTCAAAAATAAAGGGAGAAGAATGCTCTTGTGGCGTGGTTGTGATTTCGGTACATTGCAAGGCTGGTTTCCCTGCTTTAGAGAAGGGGTTTTGTTCTGGAAGTTCAGGGAAAGCCATTGTGTCGTGCATGGGGAGGTTTGTGTGAAGGACTAAATATCCTGGTGCATTTCTGATAGGAGAACTTGCTGGAGAGCCTTCCCCTGTGTGCTGCTCTTAACTCTGTTAAAGTCATTTTCACTCGCTCAGAGCTCACTGAAATGTACACGTTTGTTTCTTTTCTTATCCTTTTTTTGTGCTATCATTTTTTCCCCTCTGTCTGCTATGACTAGTGCAGCATCATTTTTTTTTTTTTATTAAATACTGTATTTTGCAAGCCACGAGGCATTGAATGCAGCTGCAAGGACTCATATTACATAAAATGTTTGTAGGATTTACTCAGGGTCGTGGTTTAGTGCTTCAGTTGTGTTGGAGCAAAATAACGACAAAAACACAGCTTGACATTGTTGTGCTAAAACATTTACAAAACCCGAAATGTATAAACTATGTGAGACCCAAAATATAAAACTCTCTCAAAATGTAGCAGAGGAACTCATGTGAAATTAAATTGAGTTTAGCAGAATTGGATAAAATTAAGGGTTTGGGCAAGAAACAGTGCCAGTATCAATCACTGTCAGCCTGAATGTTTTTGACTCATAATAAACCCAGATTTTCATAGGTTTTTTAGTTATAAAGGTGCTGCTAAGTGTAGTGCAAAATCCAGGTTTCTTAGTTTAAATAAATATTGCTGGAAAATAATAATTTTTAAATGAACTTCCCATAAAAATAAAAAATACAAATTTCATCATTTATGCTCTGTGCTACCCAGACCTTGATGCATCCGAGCTTGCACGATCACCAGTTTATAAACAAAATTGAGTGTTTTAATTATTCTAATCAAGTGGATGAAGTAGAAAAGGAAAATAGGCCACTCTAATAAAAGACAATTAGTTGGTGAGGATATAAAATTTCATGGGCTAGATGGACTTTATGGAATTTACTTACACTTATTAAAGTGTTATGACTGCTTTTGAGAAATGTCTCTTCCAGCGTGAGCATTTCTGCAGCTTGTCTAAATTGGAGCATTAGTTCTGTTTGATGTTTAGTTCTAATTACAGAACTCGTGGCTGTGTTGAAATGGTTTATTGTGAAATGTATGGATTTCTCAGAATTGTTCTTTTTTCTGCCTGTAAAACCCAAATCCTCCCTGAAACCAGTGCAGGATCCCCACTGCTACGGGTGGGAGCTGAAACAAGGGTTTAAAATGAAAATGGGCTCCAAAATAGACATTCAAGGCAAGGCTTTAAGCCTTTCTTTTCTTTTTTTTCTCCCCCACTTTCTCCCCTCTCCTTTTCATGCAGAATGCAAGGTACAGGTGTGAAATGTGCCATTTCTGTGGGTTGTGTTTTCCATAGCTCTTGTCCGTTCTGCACTCCTTTGAGCTAGTCAGCAATTTGTGGGAATGTGCTAGAGAAGGGTCATCTTGTCCTGCAGAGACACAAATTCAAGTTAACTCTGGTTTTCAAACTCCTTGTAATGTTTTTATGTCAGTGCTGCCTCAACCATTTTGGACCTCAGGCTGCTCAAGTCAAACCTCTCTGGTGTCTGTATGTATTGTAAATAAGCCGAAAAAAATGGGTTGAGGGTTTTTTGCTGGCAGTTTTCTGACCATCTTCAGTTTTTCAGCATCTAAAACAGGTTCTGAAGTCTCAATTTTGTCTGTGAAAGAAAATAAATAAGCGTTTTTAAGCTGTTTAGGATCCTCATTGTAACATTGCTGTAAAAATGCAAGACATCACAACTGCAGAGCTGTGTTAAATTTTCCTCTTACTTTGTCCTATTTATTTCCAGAACATGCTTGAAGAGCTATTAATTCACAAGCCAGATGATCCCATTGAGTTCATGATAAACCACTTAAAGCAAAACAACGATGATGGTAAGTGAAAATGGAGACACCAGAAATAGTTCAATTCCTGATTTGTAAACAGCTGTTGGGAGCTGTGCTGCCGTTGGCAGGTGATGGATCAAACTTTTCAGGCTGAGTCCTGGGGAGGGGGGAAACAAAAAAAAAAAAACAAACAAAAAAAGATGATGAGCATTTTGGAATAGTTATAGGCAAGATGCTTTTAATTTCTTTTTTTAGTGGGTAATCTAATAAGAAATGCACTTTAACAGTTATAACAATGAAACCCTCTAAGGGAATAACAAAGAGTTCTGGTGTATCAATTATTAATGCCTTCTGTGCCCCATCTGATATTTCCTGTTGTCTTTAAGCTCGCTAATTACTCCTTTTGTCAGGTGTAAATTTGGGTTCCTATTCTACCTGGGCTGGCAGATTCTCTGCTTTTTGATTAGTTTGTTACTCACTGCTGTTAATGAGTTCCACAGCTCAGTGGCACCTCAGCTGAAGGAACAGTGAGTGTGTCTGCTCCTCTGTGTAACAAAACCTGGTAAATTGAATGGGAAGTCTGTATTGTGCACAATAAAAGCATGTACCCTCAATCAAATTATTTGATTTACAAACTGTTCACCCTTAGGCAGATTATATTTGGATATGCATAACTGAACTGTAATTTTTGTTCTGCGTGAGCTGTCAGGGAGAGCTGGTGTCATGGAGCTTTGATGTTTCTTTAAAACCAGAGTAAACCATTATGAAAGTTCTGCTGCAGCATCAATGAAGTCATTATCACTGGAGGTGCTGTGAGCTCTTAGTGGTGCTGATCAGATGGATGTTGATTGAAATGCTGCTAAATATGTTAAAGGAAAAAAAAAAAATCAAATCCTGCAAACTGTGCCCAGCCTTTTCTGGTGCAGGCAGCGTGAATAATCAATCTGGTTTGTAGACCCATGGAAAATATGTGGAAGAATTTCCTGCAGTTTGATAGAGTGCTGATAAAATTTCTTCACATTGGGCTAACATTTGTCCTGAAGCCCCACAGTGTTATTTTAACAGAATTAGGCAGGTTTCCATCTCATGACTTCAGTACTTAGAGGCTAAAGATAGAACTATAGCAGTTGTTTGTTAAGGGGAAAATGCTGTCTGCTTTTGGTCTGGAAAACCCTGTTAAGGAAGGAGAGGAACTCCAATTAAAATTAAAGCCTAAATGTTGGGTTTAGAATAAATTACATGGAGAATAATGTAACAGAAATGTGTAGCAGAGTTGATTTTACTTTTTGATCATGGTGGAAGGTGCTGACTATTTAGAAGAAAAAAAAACCTGATTAGTGCCATCAGTAAAGCAATGAATTTTCATGATCTTGCCTTGCCTCGACAGTTTTAGCCCTAGAGAAAATTTCAAACAGAGATGTGTGGAAAAGAAGCATTGCATCTATCCCAGGTGTGAAGTTAGAAAACCTTTTAAATTAATAATAGGATCTAAAGTACTTTAAAAAATATAAACAAGTCTAATGGTGATTATAGCTTACAACTGCCTCGAAAATCTTGTAGGTCAAGTGTGTGGCAAAATGTTTGTGCTTAGGGCTCTGTGCTATTGTTCTTTCATGTGTTCCTTCTAAAAACTTTCAAGGGCCACAGAAAGACTGATAATTCTTTCATATTCAAAGATGCAAGTTTTCTATAAAGTATCTTGTTTTGTGCTAATGAAAAAGGCTTTCAGGGTCATTGGCATTTCTGTGAGTTTCTCCTTTACACTCAGACCTCTGAAGGAATGTAAAAAAATTCTGCAAGAATGTTCAGTATGTACCCTGTGCTTCTGCTCTTTGACAAAAGATTTCTCTTACCAATTAAGCAAATTTTCATGTATTAGTATTAATTATAGAATCTTTTGGACTTAAATGGAACTCTGTGAGTCCAGCTGTTCTTTTGTGTTATTCCAAGATTCTTTTTATTGTTGCTAAAATCATCGTTGAATGTTAAAACTTGCTTTGCTTGAACGAGTAAATCCCATGACGTCTCATCAAGACTAAATACAGAATTAAATATGATTTGTTACCCAAAAAAGGCATTTTCCAGAATTTCCTGACTTCATTGAGCTGCAGTATTAAATAGTGACTCTTTGTTGATTGGAGGGGTTAAACATTACACCCAGTGGTGTCCTGGTTGTGCCCCTGTGTCATATGTTTGGGGAGAACGCTTTAGAGGAGTCCTACAAGTGTGCAAATGAGTAAATCAGTGAATTACACTGCCCCATCTGCTGCCAGCCACTAAGCAGAGAGAAAACCAGATTTAGTACAAAGTGAGCATTTACAGTAGCCCTGGGCAATATTAAAGCATGAGATGGTGTATATAATGGTATGTTTCGTTTTTTATCAAACGTTTGTCCAAGAAAGCTGTGTATTAAAGCTTCAATACCTAAGGGCTTTCTTGTGAATTTTAAATCATGCTCCTAGTTAAACCTCAAAAGGATCTGTGGATGGAAAGGTTTTTTGATTTTCTTTGAAGTGGTTTGAAGAAGTTGATTAGTGTTGGCACCCAAGCACTCTTTTATGACGCTGTTTATAAATAATTCCTAAGTACCAGGCTGGAGTTTCAAGGTGTTAGATTTTAAAAAAACCCTAGGATTTAATCACATTACATTTGAAAGAAATTAGGTGATAAAAACAGCTGATGTATCCTTTTAAAGTATTTTTCTACATTGTGTACTAGTTCTGTTGCACTTGCAAGAACCAATAAGGGGGGAGTTGTTCTTAAACCTTCCAAGTCAGATAACTTTGTAAAGATGAATCTGTAATTTGGGTTTCATGTATGTTTAAAAATTGCACCTGCCCAATAACTGTTAAGTGCATGGAAGGCCTCATGAAAATACATTTCACATCCTTGCCTGTCTGTTACCATCAGACACGATCTCCCTTGGTTATGGAGAGCTGAGGAGGTTTTTGGGTGAGTGGATCCTTCCTCTGCTCTGACCTATGTTACTCCCAGTAAATACTAACCAGTCCCTGCTGCACAGACTCTGATTTGGGGTTTTTTTTTTTTCCCCTGTGGTATTGGGGGAATAAACATCAAAGCTGTTAATAAAAAATGGCCGTTCAAGGGATTGAAGCCCAAGGTGTATTTATGGAAAAAGTTCCAAATACTTTCCGAAGAGGGAGTCCATTTTCTCTTGTTTATCTTGCCTCTAATTCATTCCCAGAGAAGCTCAGGGCAGTAATGCCTATTGTGTTGTGTGTGTGCATTGGATTAAGAATTCCTCAGAACTGGGATGCATTTTTTGCACCTTGCCCCCTCAGGGAAAGAAGGATGTGCAGCAAGAAACGCAAGAAACAGAAATGAGGAAAATTACTTTAAATGGTGACTAGAAAAATTGAAGGCAGCTGTCAAAAAGTGTAGTGAGGGAGTCCTTAGTTTTGCAGTATCTAAATCTCTGAAACCTGACACAATCTATTTAGGTGAAACTAAAAACTGAAATTTTTTTTTGTCACAAAATGTGTTAGTTCTGAATCAATGTTCCAGGAATAAAAGTCAAACTCAGGTAAGAAAAGATTTGCATCTTATGGTTCACCCACTAAACTCTCCATGTGTTTAAATGGATTGAGATATTCATATCTCATATATCTCTCCAAGTGGCATAGTTAGAGTGTTAATCTCATTGACCATGGAGATTAAAGGAGGACCCAGCTGGCACTGATTTTCTGCTCTCCCTTTTTCCCCCAGTGGAGCCCAATCCCAAAATCTCCACTGAGGCAGCTTTCCAGCTGAAATAATTGTTTCATGGTGGCTACATTGGTATTAAGCAATATAAGAGTGGCAAACTGGTTGGGATTTTTGCTGTTCTGCATCTTGACATTTACATGTCCTTCTTCCATAGCTCCAAGAATTTGTGTCCTTGGTCCCCCTGCTTCTGGGAAAACTACAGTTGTGAGTACCTTACCCTCAGTGTTGTAGCACTTCCCTCTTACTTTCTACTGAGCTCAGCATTTTGGAGAATTTTATTCTGGGAAAAGAATTTTGAGATTTATCCAAGTGATAGAGGAACACAAGACAAATTAAAGGGCTTCATTCCTGAGGGATACACCTGGGTATTACACTACAGGTTAAACAGATATTTTCAAGTGAGGTCTGTGAGAACTCACTCAGGTAGTGAAACTGCTGGAATGCAACAGAATTCTGCCTGCCTTGTTTTCCCAGCCTTTTAGCCTGAATTAGCCTGGGGGAAGTGAGGTAATTACACATTTGTGGTGTTCCCTTGCTGTGATTTGCTCCATTTCCATGGTCAGTTGTCTCATGTCCACTGGCACTGCTTAAATGCAAAAGTCAAAGTTGCATTTGAACCTCAGAAACGGCAGGTGATGCTGGTGAGGGCATGGTAGGAAGAATGTTTCCTTCTTTAAATACTGTGTTAAGATACAGGAGATGAAAAAACCATTATTCAAAGCTGGATACTCTTGAACATCTTCATAGGAAACTACTTAAAGTTGCTTATATACTTAAATGTCTGTATATTTAAATGTATGGCTAGGAAAGCTCTGTCTTTCTGCAGCCTTCTGAAAAAAATTGCTTCATTTTCTTTCCAACTTGTATTATTTCAACCTGTATTTTTTTTTTTTCCTCCCTTCAGGCAATGTGGCTTTGTAAACATTTCAATGCCATACGTGTCTCTCAGGAGACTTTGTTATTCAAGGAAGTATTAATGCAGACAGAGGAAGCAAAGGCATATAAAGAAAGAAACCAGGTGTGTAAGAGAATATAATAACAGTTGTTCTCATGTCACAGAACAGGAATTATGTGGCATTCCCATGATTTCCACTGCTGAGTTGAGCAGATGAGAGTAAAGACTCTTCTCTCTGTGTTGTACAGTGGTGTGTCAGGACACAGAACAGGGGCAAAATAATGGAGGTCTTGAAAATATTGACCTTGAAACAAGCAGCAGAACTGGGAAAAATCCAGGAATGTACAATCCAGTTTAAAGAATGGTTGATTCTATTATTAAACACAGTGTCTTCTATCTGGGCATGTTTGATAATCTCGATAAAATAAGCATTAATCTCTGAGGTCTCCTTTGGTACAAAATGCTCTGGAAAATATGTACACAAAGAACTTTTTTTGATCTGACAGTGCTACTTAGTTGTGCATGCTTGATTTCTCTGTAGCATGACACAAATAACTTACTTGGTGCATTAACTCAAAAGGAGGATGACAATCCAGTCAGTTCCTGACAGCCCTGGAAGCTCTCAAGCTGAGGCAGGATTAGCTGACTCAGATTGTTGAATTTTCCCCAGTTCTGTGTACCTGAGTTTCTCCAGTCAGATTTTTAAATCCATTCATTGTGGGCATCCTAATCGATGTTCAAAGGAGTTGGTCCAAAGAACATTTTTTTCCAGGTGTCATGACTCCCAGGATTAGTTGAACAGTAATGTAATTATTTGTCTTATTAGTAAAAATTGAGAGATTGGAGAAATGTGTTGAAAGGTTATCTTGAATACAGAGAAGAATCTATTCCTGCCTTTTTGGCTGATTCCTTTCTCCAATGTCAGGGCATTCCATGAGAAATAGAATGGAAGAATTCTGGGGTTTTGTGACTTTCTCCAATAATTCCACTAAGTTTGAGTTTCTATTTTGTCCCTTATCACCCATTTTCATAAAAAATCGAAGCAATTTCCTATCTGTGGGAATTCTACAGCCCTACTAAATCCAATTTAGAATAGGAACTGGCCAACAGATTTGTAGTTTACTGAGATGGCAGATGGTGTGATACACAGATTAGGGGTTTTTCCTTAGAAAATTAGGCTAAAATAGGGTAGTTTTTATCAAAATGGAATAAAATATTGGATTAGCAAATGAAGTTTGGAGTTGCCTCAAGTAACACACTTCGAGATCTGAGAGGAAAGAGTTCATTGAACTCCCTGAACTCACTGGCAAAAATGTTTGCATTTGGCTGGGGTAATATAGAATTATTCTTACTGAAAATATGTACTTTGAAATCTTAGTTCTAATTATTAAAGATTGTTTTGATAGGTTCATAAATTTATACTTGAAGGGGGGAGAATTTAAAACAAAAATTCCCTTTGGTTTAATTACTGTAATTATTAACATATTTCAGACTATACAGATGCACTTTCAAGGGTGTCCTTTTGGGCTTATTTGATTTAAAAAGATGGATGGTGTGGAAGATGAAAGTCAAAAATGTCAAGGCTAATCAGGTAGTGAGGAGGGCCCGCAGAGCAGAGGCTGCTGGTGGTTCAGCATTGTGCAGTTTGCCTTTGGGTTTGATTTTTAGACCCTAGGAGGAAGTTTTCACTAAATAATTTCGTTCTTTTATGTGAGTTTGTTTCTTTGAATGTAACTCCTTGGATTAGGAGGGAACTCCTGGGTTGCTCTAGGTTGGGATGTCAGTTCAGGAGAAGAACAAGAGCTGCTTGGTTTGGATATAACCAGGGTGTTAAAAAGTGCTAGTCCTGGCCAAAGCAATTTAATAAATGGAGAAGAGGAAAAGCAGGAGCTAAGGCTGTGGGTTTTGGAGAGTCTGCTGTGAAGATCATAAAGGCAATTTAATGTTGTTTCTCACATCTAAGGCTACTGTGGCTGCATTAACCCCAGAACCAGAGGTTGGGCAGCTTGAGGTCACTTGGCCAATGTCCTTGGGTCTGGGCAAATGCTGCAAAAATCCCTGCAAATGTTTGTTCACATATTTTACCTACTCATCTTTAGCCAAGCTTTCATCTCTTTTGTGTTCACACATTAAAGCATTTGGGTTTTCCTGGCACAGGAAGCCATGGAAGGCATATTTAAAATCCATGATCACTCTCTGAAGCTTCATTTTTCAAGTTGGACAAGCAATCATTCACCCACACATACCTGGCCACTTGCTAATGAGCACAGCTCAGGTAGTGAATTTTAAATATTGAGTGTTCAAAGCAAAATGTGATCGTTGTGCATGTAAAAATACTCCAAAAAGAAGTCAAGTATTTTTGAATATTCAGTAAATTGAAGAACCACAAGCTACCAATAAATATTCCATGAACAGAAAAAGAAGCTACATTTTTGGATAAATCATTGCAAATTATTCCCTCATCTCTAGTTATTATAATGTTAATAGAAAGCATCTTCAGGTTTTCCTATAGTGAAGTCTAATGATGAGCTATTGCATGTTTCACTTTTGCTGTTAACTGGATAAAATAAGAAGTTGAAACAACTGTGGTAATTGTGGGTTTGTGGGATGGGTGTGCTCTTTATGCTACACTAAATTGCAGTTAAGGTGTTTGCATAATACTTAATAACTGCTCCAGAGTTGTGTCACGTCCCTGTGCCTTTTAAAAAGAAATAAAATAGAAGAGAAGAAAAAAAAAAATCCAAGGCATCCTTAAACTATGCAGGGTCAGCATTCCAATCTATTCCAGGGTAGGCCACACTGAAGGAACAAAAAGAAACTCTTCCAGTTTTGTGTATCCAAAAAAGACCAGCCTTTCATGTGTATTTATCTGAACAAACTAAATCTAAACATTCATGATACTCAGGATCCTAAAGTAAATTTCTTCACCCTTGTTTGCTATTCTCTCCAAGGTGCCAATTTGGAGAAGCCAGAATTTTTTAGCTGCAGCTGTTTTCAGAGCAAATACATCCAAAACTTCCAAGAAAAGTGGCTACTAAAAAAGCTCCCCTACAAAAAAAAAGTGTGGGAATTTTATGGAAGGGGAATTGAAATATAACTCTGAGTAGACCAGGCATGGAAATTGAAGTATGATATTCCTGAAATAACATGGAATATTTACAATTAACCGCAAGTGGGTACAGTTTTTCAGTAAACATGGAAATAATTATTAAACCAGCATGGATAAAAAAGTGCTCTGACCATGACCAAAATCCCACAGCAATGTTTCCTTTACCTGCACTGTGTTGGGACAGCTCTGTGGGTTAGGTGTGGTTTGGCTGCTATCAAATGTGTGTCACTGTCCATGACTGCAGGTTTCTGGGAAGTGCAATCCCATCTCCCAGGCTCACAATATATTTATGTGTATTTATGTGTTTATGAGAGATAGCCTGATTTCTAGTGGAATAATTAAGCATTCTGCAAGCAGCCTATTGGAAATTATTTTGTAGGCCACTGCTCAGTGGGAGGAAAACTGCCCAGGAAATGAGACTGGAATTGAGCCCCAGAGAGCAGAAGGAGCTAAAACACTGAAATACTTAAATGTGTGTCCTTGATTGTTTTTGTGCAACAAGCCCCACTCCAAAGGCAGGAGCAAGAACACCAGTGCACGGAGAGAAGCGAGGATAAATTTGGTTTAAATTGGTTTGGCAAGGCTTAGCAGAGCAGCCCTGCAGCCTGTTTTGACATGACACATGAAAGGAGCAGCCAGGTCCTGGCTGTCCCTGCGAGCAGCGTGGTGCCCCTTTGGAAGGTGACAGGCTCTGGCAGCGAGGGGCTGCAGGAGGCTCTGACAAAGCACCCTGGGGACCCGCTGCCTCTCAACAAACGCTGCCATGTCCTCCCCTCCTTCTCTGCTACCTGCCTGAGCAGCGTCTCCTGCACGGCTGATGTGAGGAGAGGCACTGAGAGCTGGGGACAAAAGAGAGGAACAAAAGCAAACCCCGCCTGCCTGGGCCACCTGGGCTCTTCTGTGTGTTCTGGAGCATTTTCTCCAGCCTCCTTCAAAGTGGGACCGTTTCCAGCACTCCTTGTGAAATTGTTTCATCATCTAATAAAGAAGATTTTATGAAATCTTCCCACATCATCAGCCGCGGTTTTTTTCATTGTATGAGTTGACATTCAAAGGAGTTGCTCTAAAGAATATTTTTTCCAGGTGCCATGAGTCTCAGGATCAGTTGATCAGTAATGTAATTAATTGTCTTATTAAAAGACAATTGTCTAATTATTAAAAGTTAGTGGTAATTAGATTGGAAAAATATGTAGATTGGAAAAATATGTTGAAAGGTTGTCTTGAATACAGAGGAACATCTGATTTCTGCCCTATGTGCCTCTCCAAGCCTATATAAATACTCCTTTTCAGGCTTATACCCTTCAGACTAGTTAGGAAAAAGACATGAGAACCCACAATATATGGAACTAAAGGTTCAAGCTCACATTGTTAACTGAGAGATAATTTATTTTAATTGGGAGGTAGAGAATCTGATTGCAGGTTGGGTTTTTTTCTGGTTTTTTTTTTCACACAATGAATAAGACAAGGCAATGTAGTGAAATGATTAATGGCTGTTGTGAGCTGCATGGACAGAAGTTTAGACTTTAAGTGGCTAACACAGAGTTTAACCAAGTTCAGCATAGAATGAAAGCCTAAATTAAGATAGTGAAGCAAATTCATACTAGAAGGGAAGGAGGGTATTGCTGATTTCTTGTCAGGAAATCAAATACAAGGGAAGAAATATTGAGGGGTGCTAATCTGTATAGGAACTTCATTCTTCTGTCACATAGCAAATACCTTTTTACAAAACATCTCTAGAGATGAACAAAATAGCAGTCACAGAACTAAACAGCACTTTGAAAGTACTGGCAGATGCAGTTTCCATCCCATTTCACGGTCCTGAGTTTAAAAATAAACGAAGTTCAACTATAAAATCTATTTTAAATAAACCTTTTGGATGATGAGAGTTACTTGAAGCTATGAAACCTCCTGAAAATCTTTATATTGTTTGCTCAGAGTCTGAGGTTGTGTTTGTGTCACTGAGAGCTGGCAGGTCCCTGGTGCTGAGCCCTGTGTCACATGGAGCAGTCAGGGG